TTTTGGTAGGGGCGTGGCCCGAATGTTATTGTTAATCAAGGAACTTAATTCTTCAGCTGCTGTTTTATTGGATGGGTTGTATAGCAAGTATGTTCTAAGACCCCTATTCTGCTAACGTTTAGGTTCTGTACCCAGAACCCAGCATAGGCTGGAGAGTTTAAGCCGCCTTGTGGCTTGAATGTGTAAGGGTTAGGGTTTAGGGTTTAGGGTTTGGGGTTTGGGGTTTGGGGTTTAGGGTTTAGGGTGTAGGGTTTAGGGAGGATGTTAAGCTGGTAGGGGTTTGATGGTTTGGGCTTTCGGGTAAACGATTTTCACTCAGGGTGTTTCCAAATTATTAGGTTTAAAGTTTAGGGCCTCAACCCCCAACCACACGGGTGGGTGCAGTCATCCTGCTCGCGTCGGGTCCCTAAACCCGAAACCCTAAACCCTAAATCCGAAGGCCTGTACGCCCTAGACCCTTGTCTATCGAGAGGAATCTACCACACCCTTTCTTGGCGGCGAACTCCTCTGTTGTGTTCTCATGACCTTAAACGAAGGTACCCAAAACAGGGGTGGGTGTTCAAGGTGTCTGGTGGAATGGGTTTCGCGACTACAGCCTATGAGATCTAAAACCGAACCTGTGAACCGCACTCAATGCTAAGGTGATGCCGGGGCACAGGCATCGGGATTTAGGACTTCTCCACCACCTTGTCGAATTACAGATCTTGAGTGGTAGATAGGTCATGAGTCAGAATTCTTGAAGATTGCCTTGCGTTTCCCCTCAACCCGAACCCGAAATCCTAACCCTCAACCTGAACACTGACCCAAGACCCCATAGGGGGGTTTACGATATTAGGCGGTACCTTATGGGGCTCCTGTCTATAAGGGCCTCCTACTGCTAGGGAGTCGGCATCCGGGTCGCCCTTTTTTGGGAAACCCACATGGGACTTGTAAGGCTCAGGCCCACCAGCTGCGCGCTCCATGGGACTGCGACAGCTCTTCACTCCCACGGACATTCGGGGGGGTGGGTGGGTTTAGGGTTTCAGGGTTTCAGGGTTTCAGGGTTTCAGGGTTTCAGGGTTTCAGGGTTTCAGGGTTTCAGGGTTTCAGGGTTTCAGGTTTATGGTTTTAGGGTTTAGGGTGAGGGGTTGGGGTTTAGGATTTTGTTCGGGTTACAGTGCCTCTAAGGGCTGAGAGGGCTTAGTGAGCAAAATCTACCGGGAAGCCGCTTGAGCTAGAAGCTAGAATCCTCCCAGAGACAGGGCTACCCCTAAACCCTAAACCCTAAACCCTAAACCCTAAACCCTAAACCCTAAACCCTAAACCCTAAACCCTAAACCCTAACCCCCTCCCCCCCCCTTGGCCTGCCGGTTTAGCATATGTTTGGGGTACTGTACACCATGGGGATCATGTTTTTTGGAAGTACTCATTGTGGGAGGTTCTCTAAATTGTGGTTCGTTTTGGGATCCTGGTCCTATTCTATACGGAGCCTTGTACTTGGGGAGCCCAACACAAGGCCAATAATTTCAAAAAACAACGAATGAAGAGAAGTTCAAACCCGAAACATACACTTTAACGACAGTCTTAAGGCATCCAGTGGTACGGCCTTCGCTGCACAGTGGCGGGTTCAGATCCTCTAGGTTTAGGGTTCATGGTTTAGGGTTTAGGGTTTAGGGTTTAGGGCAACCACTGATTCCTACATGCCGTTGAGTCGTCTTGCTTTGAAGGCAGCCTATTTATTTTAGGGGCTGTGTTGTAGACTTCTGCCAAGCTCCGGGCGATTGGGTTCATTTGGAGTGGTGGGTAGGAGCTCGGTGCGTGTCCCTCAACCTTGAAACTGAGCCCTACAAAGAAGCCCTGATTCGCAGGGTGAGTTCCTCAGCCCCCCGGCTACAGACCCGCGCCCCGACCTGTTTGGAACCTGCACTTCTGTGAAGCATGTGGCATTAGAGAAAAGGTTCTGTCCCAAAAGTCTAGTCTTCAACGCTATGGGCCATAGGCATTGCATGGACCTCGTGCACAATCAGGAGGAGTTGAGACACATGCCGTGAGCCCTCCAGGACACGGGAGAGGCAGACCTTCCCATCGTGAGCCCCTACGACGCTTGGTCATTATTTAGGGGTTTGGGTTTAGGGATATAAGGGTGCTGGGCTTGGAACGGGTTGATTGAGGGTTTAGGGTTTTGGATTTATGGTTTAGGGTTTAGGGTGCTGGGGTGCTGGAGTGGGAGCTGCGAGTCTGGAGGGAATGGGCGAGTTTTGCAGGAAAACCCTAAACCCCAACCCCAAACCCTAAACGACCCCTAAAACTCGAATTGGGGGTGTGCCATGTTTTAGGCCATGCCCTGGTAAATTCTACATCTCCTCATGCTCAGCCGCCTTTACCAACAATGCATGTCAAGGCCGGCGTGTACCCTATTTTTACTTTTGTTCATATAAAGCCCAAGAAGATATTAAAAATACTGTTTTATTAAGGTTCTAAGGGGAGTATAGTAGCCTGTTCGATATGGGGAAAATGAATAGGGGGTACCCCTTTTATACCCCAAATAGAATAGAATCCCCTTAAAGGGACCCCCAGAAACGGTATCCTTCGGAAATCCCCATATGACATGCAGTGCAGTCTCCACGTCTTTGGAAGTGAGCGCTGGTCAGCGCCAAAAGCAGTTCTCTGGGCCGGACATGTCGCGCAAGTTACACGTAGGCCACGCGTACGTCATGGTTATATGATACATAGCCGTCGGAATAAAAAGCAATATTTGTCCCTTAGCTATATCAGTATACTGTAATAGTTGTTAAGGCCCCTATGTTAGCCATTCCAAGGACGCAACACTCATCTGCATCTGTTGACCTGTACGCGTAGAAGTTTACATCCCGGCGCAGCTCCGCTCATGGATTGACGTTGGGAGATGCAACCCTAAACCCCAAGCCATTAGCTTAAACCCTCAGATTCGGTTTGCCTCGAAACCTTAGCTTGAGAATTGGGCAAACAGAGAAACTTGCACCACGATGGGTCCTCGAAAGTTAACTTTTTTTTCTCCGCGAAGAGGGTTATTTCCGGATGAGTTTGATCAGCGATCAAGTCGGGTTTCGGAGCTCAAAGCAGACTTCAAATTTCCGAGACGAAGTCGGGTCTTCCCAGAACCTCGGACAGTAGGGGTCAATCCAAGGAAGAGCACAACCCCTTCACCCACCCGCACCAGTCTGCAGCGTGGACCTGAGGACCTGTCTCACGACATGGGGTTTACGGAAATAAGGGGGCCCGAATATAGATCCCCAAATAGTAGGATTCCCATATAATAAGGACCTCAATAAGGTACCCCTAATTTTGGGAAACCTTCACATGACCCTGAGCCCTAAACCCACCACTTCCTCTGCTGTTAAGCATACCCGTGTGCGTGCATCAGACTCAGCTGGGCAGAATGTTCATTCGAGGTGGGGGTTTTAGTGATAGGCGGAGTGGGTTGAACCGCAAGCCACTGTTATTTCATGGCTGTCGCAGCTTTGCTCAACGAACCTCTAACCCTACACCCTAATTCAACCTGACCCTAAACCGTAAACCGCAAACCCTAAACCCTAAACTCCCAACCCTAAACCCTAAACCCTAAACCCTGGACCCTCTTAGGGCGACGAAGATGCGCTGCCGGTGCTGCACCGTGGTTGGGAGCTCAGAGATTTCCTAGCCCTAAACCCTAAACCCTAAACCCTAAATCCTAAACCCTAAACCCTAAACCCTAAACCTCTCCTGCTGTTGGCTTGTTCTTAACAAGGACATAGGCAGTTAGGTTTTTCTTCTGCAACCCTTTAGGGGATGAACTCGGGGTACCCTAAGTCCCTCCTGCCCTCCTAAGAACCACGAAGGGCTTAGGGCTTAGGGTTTAGGGTTTAGGGTTTGGGGTTTGGGGTTTGGGTTTCCTCTGCCCTTGCAGTCGGCGTCGTAGTTCACCCTGACAGGTGTTAAGGACTCAGGTTCAGCAGCCATAACGCCGGACCCCAAACCCCAACCACGAAGTCCGAAACCCCGAGCTTCAAACCCTAAACCCTAAACCCTAAACTCAAAAGGGTTTATAGACCCTAAACCCTAAACCCGACACCCTACACCCTACACCCCAACCTAAACCCTAAACCCTAAACCCTAAACCCTAAACCCTAAACCCTAAAAGCCAGGCTACGACTGTTGGATTCCCTGCATGGGCTCGGGGGCCTGCGACAAGTTCTGTGGGGTTGGCAACGCCTGCTGCCGCAAGGCCCCCCTCTGTCGCGTGATCCTCGCAGGGTTTAGGGTTTAGGGTTTAGGGTTTAGGGTTTAGGGTTTAGGGTTTAGGGTTGTGCCGGTTTAGTGTAGTTACCCCCCCCCCCCCCCGGCCCCCCCCTCAACAGTTGGGTTCGGGGGGGGGGGGGGGGTAATTACACTTTCCTTGCCTTTAACTTAGAGCCATTCAAGATGCCATGTGCAAAGTTGTCACCAAACTGCTGCAGCGAATGTAGCATGAGCACGTTTCTACTCCAAGCCCTACAGTTAGTTACATCTCCCAACCCAACTTTCACACATGCACCACCTCCTGAAACCACAAACATCCCGAGACCCTGACATTGCTTTGTAATCTACTCCATGCGGCGCTAGGTTCTGGCCCCCCCCCCCTTATATATATTAAAAGCCAACAGTCCAGGACCAAGCCCTAGAAATCGTAGCCCTCGACCCCTGAACCCCACACCCCTAAGCCTCAAAATCTTGAGAACCTTAGGACGACCTCAGGACTCAAAACCCAAGCCCTGAAACCCCCTTAAACCCTGGACCTGAGACACGTCACTCCAAACCCTATACCCCAGATACCCTTAAAACCCTAAAAAGCCACCAAAACCCTTAATTCCAACAACCCCTAAACCCGAAACCGTAAATGCAAACCCGAATCCCTAAACCCTAAACCCTGAGGCCCTAAACCCCTAAACCCGAAACCCTAAACCCCTAAGCCCTAAACCACGCAAGTCCCTAAACCCCATAACCCCCTACACCCGAGCAGTGCC